TCTGTGGAACGCTGTGTGCCGGACAGTGTCCTGGGCACTGAAGTCACAGTGATAACAGCCCCAGCCCCTGTCCTCCTGCAGCGAGTGGTGGACAGGGGAAATAGACAGTTTAGGCCACAGACATAAATAAAAATGGATCTCAGCCAGCAGCCTCTCTGAGGAGGACCCTAAGGTGGGGAAGAAGGTGGACCCAGGAAGCATCTCCAGGCACCACAACATTGAGCTGAAACCTAAATGATGACAAAGTAAAACCTGGAGAAAGAGTCTTCCAYGGAGAGGGCATGGCGAGGGCAAAGGCCCTGAGGCAGGAAGAGGTTTGAAGAACAAAGAGAAGGATCCCTCCGTGGCTCTATTAGTGGAGCCCACTGAGGGGTGATTATGGAATCCCTGTTAATTTCCTGAGGTGCAACAGTGATGGAGAGGTCATCTGGGGAAGCAACATATTCTCAGGAGATGCCCGCCCAGGGCCTCAGGGGTGATGCGTCATAATGTCTGCAACCTCCTCTCGAGTGGCTCAGCGACAGGAGCCCACGCGGCGGCATATCAACACCTGCACACTCCGGTGGAGAGCAGCCGTGCGGCCCCTGGGCTGTCCTCTCAACCTCTCCACTGGGAATTTTCAAAATGTAAAGAGAAGCAAGTGGGCAGGGAGAGGAGCCGGGCAGCAGAGTCCAGATTTCCACGTACCAGAGCGGGGTTGGAGCCCAGGGGCGTGTGGCCTGGTTTGCTTTGGCTTTGGAGGGCCACCCGCCCTGGCTCCGTCCTCCAGCTTCACGGGCCTCGGGAGAGTCTCCCTGGGCCGGGCAAGCTCTTCCGGTTCTGACCTAACGAACGCTCCCCGGGCACCTTCCATAGCCTGGCACGCTCTCCCGTGCCCATTTCACCTTCCTTAATCTCACCTCAAGCACGTGACAACATATAATGTCCTTGTCACCATCTCCATCCTTAAGGTGAGGAAACCGAGGCCGGGTGGTCAGTGGGGTCTCCAGCCGGTGCTGGCCGAGCTCAGGTGGGTTAGCTTGGCCCTGGAGCGGCACCTGTCATCCTTTGTCTCTCACCAAGTCGCCACCGTCATGAATCATAATCGATGAATTATAACCAAAGCTCAGAAAGCCATTGTGGAGCAGGACATGCTGTCCCCGAGAGAGCCCTAGATTGAGTCACACTCTTGGCCAGTGGATCCCGGTCTACCCTTTAAGAAAACAAAGGTCTGCCCGCTCCACCTTGTCACGGTGGCCTGGCCGTGCTGCCCGGGGGTCGTTACTCATCTGAATACCCAGGCAGCACCCAGCTCCTGGGCATCCCGTTGGTCACGAGGTCACAGATGGAAACCTTCCTGCCTGTTTATCCAAAAGAGAACCACTGGTCTATCATTCAGCAAGAGGACAAATAGCCACTGTCATCGGCGGTCTTTGAACTGTGTCTTCACTGGTGACAACCACAGTCTGTCCTGGTGAGAAGTCAGAATGAACACCCCCCGCTCCTGGAGAGGGCTCATAGCAGCCCCAGGAGACGGCAATTATATCCGTTTATAATTCCCCTCCCTCCCAAACCAACCCTTGATTCATAAATGTGCACTCTTAGGAGTCAGGCGTTAGAATAAATTAGACTATACAATTATGTGTAATTAAAGGGGAAAATGGGTACCGCGCTGCAGAGATGAGCCGTGTTTTGCCGAAGTAAATCACGTGCGTGTCCACAAGCTGGCCCCACGGAGGCGGCGTGAAACACAATTAGTGTTCTTCTGATTTAATGGGGGTTTACGGAGCTGGTTTTCATTATCACAGTATCTCAAGACACATAAACAGTCTTCCTCTACTGACATCGAATTCCCACTGACAGGACAGCTTGGGTCTAACCGAAAATTCTGCAGGATTAACCACAAGTTTATGTCATCATGGATGAGACAGGAATTTGTATTTTAAAACCCGTGCAAAACCGTCTGTGCTCAGGAGCTGGGGAGTTTGACACCACGCCCCCCGAGAGTGACTGCGGGCCCCTCTGCTCTTGGAGAAGCACGTTCCAGCCAAGCCCTGTGCATTATTAAAGCCACCTGTGCCCCAGTCCTGAGGCTTGCCGGCCCAAGCCTCCTGCCTGCAGCTCTGGTCCTACTTTTAACGTTCCTCCTTGACACGCCAATTTGTTTAAGACATGTTAAAAGGTTGCATTTTACGACCCCATAAAATCCCAACCACCCCAGCCCAGATCAGCCAGAGGAACACACAACCAGACAGCTTCAGCCTCGGGCTGGAGACGCAGAAACACACCAGGAGTTGTGTTTCACTGTCCCGTGGAGCCACGGAAGACACAGCCACTGGCTCTGCCAGGTAGGTGGGACCCCAGGGCTCCTGCTCACGGCCGCCAAGGGACACACAGAGGGGAGACCAGGCGTGGAGGTGTTGGGAGAAAGGCCCCCACCAGCTAAGCCAGCAGTGGGGATGGGGAGCTCGGAAGGCCTGACTGGGTCCTCCAGAGAGGACAATGGGGGGGGGGGGGGTGGGGGGGGGGGGGTCAGCGACACAAGGGACTCAGGGAAAGCCACCCCAGACAGTGTGGTTGGAGGCAGAGGGACTGGAGACTCAGGGTCCTGAGCACTGTGCTCAGCCCACCCAGGCCAGGCTGGGACATCCAGCCCCCAGGCCCCCACATCTCCAGGAAGACCCCGAGACCCCGAGTGGGGCCAGCTGTCCCCAACTGACTAAAAGGGATGGCAACATCAGGCTGAGGCCCGGACCCGGAGGACTGTGGGGTCTTGGGGAATTGTGGAAGGTACGTGGCCAGAGGACACTTTGCAGGTCCTCTGACCCCATGGCGTATGAGCGGGCGAGTCCTCGTGAAACGCAGACCATGGCCCCTGCCTGCGACAAACCCTCCTACGGGAAGGCCCACACCTTCCAGACCTGTCCCCTCCTCCCAAGGAAGGACAAGGGGCAAAACCCAGACGTCACTTCAGGTCTTTTCATAGCAACAGGGGAAGCGATGCACATCTAAGGAGGAGCAAGACACCGTCAGCACACACACAGCCCACACAGCATGGCCAGGCGTGGTTCTGAACTTCTTGGTGGTAGAAATCCCCCCACCTCTAGAACAGTCTCCAGAGCAGGGCAGCCCTACCCCAGCTCCCTCCCCTCCCACCCTGGGGCCCCTGGAGCTCTGAGGACTTGTTAGAAATGACCGCTCCTGTTGGGTTCCAAAGCCAGGCTCAGCCTCCAAAGGGCTGAGATCCACCTGTCAACTCTGTGACTGCGGACAAGACCCATGACCTTTCTGGCTGCTCCAAACGGACATGTGCCATAAAGAGAAAACACGCCCGGGGATTTACCAGAATAAGAAAAAAATGCAAAATATCTCATGAATTTTTTTTACATTGAATACATGTTGAAGACCCCTGGACACTCAAGGTTAAAGAAACTACATGATTGAAACCAATTTCACCTGTTTCTTTTGATTTTCTAATGCCATTACTAGAGATTTCCAAATTACATCCGAGGCCTGCCACATACATCTCCTGGACAGCACTGAGGCCAAGGTGTCCCCTTCTGCAGAGATGAGGCAGAAGGGGAGGGGTCTCCATAGGTTTGGGTCCACGGAAGTGAAGAAGCTCAGCCAGGCATCTTCCCAGGCAGGCGGTGGACAGGTCAGTGGCCTCTGTGGGGCTAGCACCTGATTTAGAAAAGCAAGTTCAAGATTTTTCTGATTCATTTAGACTCGAGATTGAACTGGAATGACCAAGGGACACTCTGGGAAGGGGACTAGAGCCCCTAAGCTAGCCAGGACACCCTGTTTGAATTTCAGATAAACTTAAGAGAACTTGCCAGCATTAATAGGCCCCACAGAGGTCATTTATTCGTATTTGCTTAATCTGAAAACACTAACTCAAAAGATAATACCAGGGCAAGGAGGTGTTCAGTGGGAAGATAACAACAGCCGAGGGTTTAAGCACATAATTCTGGGTTCAAATTCTGGGTCCACGGCTAGTATGACCTTGGGCCAGTCACCTAACCTCTGTGATTTGGTCTGCACATCTGTGAAATGGGTATAACCACACTGAAGAAGACCACAGGGTGCAGGCACGTTCCTCCTGCCTACAAGTGCTGTTTCCCCACCAGGGTCGGTTTCCCCCTCGCAGCTCAGCCCCAAGTCTTGCGGCGACTGGTTGGGTGGGCTGCTCTTCGCCCACCCTGCAGCCCCTGGCCCCTCCTGTCCGGCGAGACCATGGGGACGGGAAAGCGCGGCAGACAGCGCCACCTTGAGTGGAGTCCTCGGCTTTCGCGGGAAGCCCGTTTCTTCTTTCTTTTCTATTCTCGGGCCATCTCTGAGCCACGCTGCTGTGTTCACTTGGGCTCAAGTTAATTTCCGGGAGAGCTTCCGAGGCGCGTGGGAAGGTCCGGGCGCGTGGGTAGTTCTCCCTGCGATCCCGCTTGGGGCTCGGCCTGGAGCCGGCTTCTCCAATGGCACATGTGTGTAGTTAGAGGCGAGCGCAGGGCTTTGAGCAAAAGCAGTCGGGTGTTTGCAGACCGGGGCGAGCCCTTGTGAAAACAGATAAAAGAAAACATTTATTAACGTGTCATTACGAGGGGAGCGCCTGGCCGGGCTGTCGCACGCCCCAGGACACTTGGCTCCTTCCAGCTCCGAGGGAGGAGAAAAAGGAAGCAGAAAGGGGGCAAGGATCTCTCCGTTCCCAGCCAAGTGGCCTGATCGATGGCCCTCCGACTTGATTACGATGTTTGATTTATTAGAAATGCCCCTCGTCTGTGTGGTTGGCGCGTACACACACACACACACACACACACACACACACACACACGCACGCACGGCTCTGGCTCGCGTCCCTCCCTCGTTTCCAGCTCCTGGGCGAATCCCACATCTGTTTCAACTCTCCGCCGAGGGCGAGCAGGAGCGAGTGTGTGTCGGTGAGTGTGCGTCTGTGTCCCAGCGAGGGTGCGCGCTCGGCGGCGGGAGCGCGGCCAGCCGAGTCCGGAGGCAGCGGAGGCCGGGAGCCGCGGGACCCCCGCTCCGCGCCGGCTGCCCGGTCCGAAGCCGGACTTCGCGGCGAGGGCCGTGCGCTGGGGGCCGCAGGGCCGGATCGGCGGGCCGTGCGTCCCCGAGCTAGAAGGTAAAGCGCTCGCTCTCCAGGGGCGTGGGGAGGCCGCCGCGTGTCCCCCGGCCCCGCCGCTCCCGCTCCGGCCTGGCGCCCCCGCCCCGGCGCGCGCCCGCCTCCCCCGCGCCGCGGCCGGCAGGCGGGCAGGCGGGGGCCGGCCGTGCCGTGCCCAGGGCGGGCTCGGGCCGCGCGGTCGGCCGGGCCGGGGCGATTCGGAGCGGCCGGGCGGGGCGCGGAGACGGACTTTGGCGAGGGCGGTGCGCCGGGCGGGGGCCGGGGCGGGGAGAGGCGGAGGAGGAGCGCGGCTCTCGCCGGGGATGCAGCAGCGGCGGCGGCGGCAGCGGCGCGGAGTCCCCTGCGCCCCGCGGCCCGGCTGGGCTGCAGCAGAGGCGGAGCGCCCCACTCCGGGTGAGGCCCCGGCCGAGCGCGCGGGTGAGTGAGCGGGCGCGGGGCAGGGCGGGCCGGGCTGCGGGCGGCGCGGGCTTCTGCAGCCGGAGCCTCACCCGGGCGAGCATGGCCGCGAGCGCCGCCCAGGTGAGCCGCGCCGGCCCCGGCCGCCCTGCTCCGGCCCCAGCGCTACGCGGAGGTGGGACCCGGCGGGCTGGCGGGAGGCTCCGGCGCCGGCGGGCCGCAGGGGGGTGACCTGGTTGACCCCGCCGGCGGGCTGGGCGTGCAGGCCAGGATTTCCCGCCGTGCCCCTGACCCGTGGACGCGCCACTCCGAGCCCTGGTGGCTCGGGGGGAAAGCGCGCTGGGGCCCACCGGCCGCTGGGGCACGGCCTCGTTGACCCCTCTGGGTTTAGACTCAAAAGATCGACTAGAAGCCAGCGCACATGGGGCTTGTCCGGGCAGGACCCGAAAAAGCAGTGGAAGGGATCTTCAGAGTGAGTCGCGGATATCGAAAGGACAAACAAGATTGAAAAGGAAAACTTCCTCCCAGACCAGGTCAGAACCCGTTTCCACGCCCTGTAGAGAGATGCGCCCCTCCTGGGTCTCCTGGGGTTTCAGAAGTCTACGGTGAAGCTGCAGCGATACTAGGAGTGCATTTTATAAAAATATTCCTATAGTAGTTCATTCATTCCTTCTACAAACATTTTATGGGGCATCTCTCATGCCTGGAGCTGAGCTTTTCCCAGGGAAAGGGGATGAAGGAAGGTACCAGCCCGTGCACAGAAGCCCCGGTCTCTTGGAGGGCAGCTGGGGAGATGTAGACTCTGGGGGAGCGTAGGAAGACACCCCCAAGCCTGGCTGGGCACTGTGGCCTGTGCCCACTCTTCCCTCCCTGCGGGACCCTGAGGACCACGCCCCCTGCACATAGTAGGGCGAGCTGCAAAGCCTTCTGGCCGCAGCCCTCC